CCAGCTGCCCCTGCACAGCTCCAGCTGCCCCCAAACAGCTCCAGCTGCCCCCGAACAGCTCCAGCTGCTCCTGCACAGCTCCAGCTGCCCCTGCGGCGCTCCAACTGCCCCTGCGCAGCTCCAGCTGCCCCTGCGCAGCTCCAGCTGCCCCTCGCTGCCCTCCAAACTCCGTTTGTTCCCACAGCCCACACATCTGAGCTACCCCGGGACACGTTTTTACCACTAAATTTTAGGGATCCACTTCAGCGGCCACACCAGCTCTCCCCTCTCTGAACTGCATACGTTCCCAATGTTTACTGACTTTCTACATACAAAATGTAATAGTTGTGTCCAAGATACTTGCAGTTTCTTGGAGACCTAGGTGGTAAACCTGAATTACTGAAATTCAAGAGAAAATGCCTGGTAATTACACTAACCTTGAGGGAGAAATGCTCTGGAACAGACTGGTTACAGGAAGGCCATAAAACTTGCCTCCCTCTGACTAAGAGAGAAAAAATGGGCACTTGATAATGATAAATAGCAGCTTTTCCATCAGCAAGTGTTCTTTACCGCTGCCCCGGGCAGGTACTGACTTTTTCCCTCTGCTGCTTTATGTGCCAACAAAAAGCTCACACATGCCCTGCTACGCAGGCTGAGTTCTGCACACCACACAAGCACATGTACAATTGTAAAGGAACTAATTATTACTTTGGGGGAATAAATTATCTTCAATAAAATAAAGGCAGTGAGGCATTTTCCTACCAAGCTGCCTCCCTTCTTTACTGGGCTGAGCTCCTGTCTTTCCACACGAGCTGACTTTTATGCTGCCTCCAAAGGAACATATCTTTGCACATATAAATGGCTGCACATGCACTAAAGACATTGTAAATTTTTTTGTGAGCTAAAAAACTTGGCTTGAAATTCTTAGTCTTGACAGGAAGCTCCTTAGGGCTGTAATCCCGAACAGCTGGAATCATCCTGTTCAATACAAAAGGGCAGTGATTGCATCTCACCTGTTTGCTCGTTCAATGAAATAATGGAAATATTCTTTCATTAACTGCTCTGCTTTTAGCTGTCCCGCACGGTGAGGCCCGGCCGGCTCCCGGCCCTGCCCGCAGACACAGCAGGGCTGCCGTGCCCCTTCCCGCTGGCGGCAGCGGCCGGGAGCGCCCCAGGGCAGGGATGGAGCCGCGGGAAGGGAAGGGAAGGGGCGCGCGGATGGCGGCTCCCGCCTCGCAGCCGCTCGGGTCGGGCCTGCACCGAGTCCGCGTGTGCCCCGGGCGCGGGGCAGAGCCGCCGCGTCGCCCTCGACCCAGCGAGCCCCGGGCAGTGTCCTCACGCGGGGACCACTCCAAGGCTCTCGGCTAAGGAGCGGGCTTCATGCCCAGCCTAGAAGAGCCCAGCCTGAGGAGGGCTGCTCTCGTCTCCGCGCTGCCCGGGGGCGAGCAGGACTGCCCTGGGGCTGGGTTCTCCTTCCCGCCTCACGTACCATGGGCAGAGAGATGACAATTCAGACTAGAGCATCCCAACACAGCTTTTGAGAGATTACTTTAACAAGAAAAAAGTGACAAACTTAGCCTAAAGCAGTCCCCACAACCACTCGATACTGTGCTGGGGAGCCTTGCTGGACACCGCAACACATAAATGCTACCACACCATTGCTAACATAAGAAATGAATATCACATTAACACCTTAATGGACAAAAACGGCCCAAACTCAACTACTGGCAAGGAATGGGACTATGGCCCTTCTCCAGTGCTAAGTGGCAGGACAGTAGCCCCAGGTCAGTGATGATTATTTTGTATTGTAATCACAGAATCACAGAATGTTTAAGGTTGGAAGGGACCTCTAGAGATCATCTAGTCCAACCTTCCTGCTCAAGCAGGCACACCGACAGCATGTGGCACAGGGCGGCATCCAGGCGGGTTTTGAAGACCTCCAGAGAAAATAATAATACACCACCTGCCATGAAATCTGGGGTATTTCTGTATATTAATGCATATCTAACCCTTTTAAACAATTATATTGTAAACATGCTTCCCTGAGAGTCATTCTGTTAAGCACTGAAACACACTAAAGCAAATGACTAAATACAACTGCTACTGTTAATACTCTCTGCTTCCTCCAGCCCTGCCCCCTGGTTATTTAGCAAGTCAGCCAACCCTCTCATGAAAACTGCAGGGAAGTTTTTGGAGTGCAAAGTCAAAGTACCACATCAGCAGTTACAACTGCAGGAGTACAGCGTGGGGCAAGAACTGCACGGTTCAGGTATTTGCTGTTCAAGCAGCACCTTGACTAAGTGCTGCCTGTAACTGGAAGCAGCCAAAGGCTGCAGGGGCGCCTGGAAACCCTGCTTTGGTTCCCAAAGCTCAGTGCAAAGCGGCTGCTCGCAGCGTTAGAGCCGAGCTGCATCCCCACCACAACGAAGGTGAACAATCACTTTCCTGGAGGAAGGTTTCCCTTGGAAAAGCAGCGTGAAACCCTCAATCTCAGACTGACTAGACACAATTTGTGTTCCTGCCTGAGCCAACACAGTTGCTTGCTAAGGTCCCTCCACCCTAGCCCCCTATTTCCTCCTCCCACAGCAGGTATTTGCTGCACTGCTTCTCTCAGGAAACTGGCACAGAGCAGCCTTTGGGCCCACCTCTGCTGTCCCTATTTCCACTGAGAACACAGAATGTGAAATAATGGAATTTCCTGTGTGATGGAAATTCCATTTTTGGATACTTTCTTTTGGCAAAGAGAGGGAAGTTGGATTCACGGAGCCATGGGGAAAGTACAGATCAAGACCTGCTGTCACGTAACCCAAACTCTGGATCTTAGCATGTCAACCACATGGCAGCCCACACCATGGTCAAAGAGAGGCAAGGTGAAAGAGGACGTCTTATCCCTGCCGGTGACGTTACCTTTTGATACTAGTCTCGTACTCAGTCCTCTGTTTGCTCAGTTCTGCCTTTAGCTCCACCACCAAGCTCTGTAGGGCCCTAGAGCACTTGATGGTGTCTCTGGAAGCAGCAGTGGGGTTGCTCTGCTCACTGCTGCTGCTGCAAGCTCCGAACCTGTCCATGCTGTTCTCTAGATCTGCAGTCTTGACCTCGCTCTGAGACAGCGAGCCCTGAGTTACCCACTCGGTTTTGAGAGAGCTTAAAGCAGAAGAGTCACTGGCCCGACAGGCCGGGCAGCTGCTGACCGAGTCCACCACGGAGATTTCGCACGACGACGTGGACCACGTGGTGCTGGCCATGCTGTGCGTGCTAAGGGAGAGGCTGGAAGAAGGGACGTTGTCGTAAGTGGAGAGTCTCTGGGAAGAGCAGGAGTCTTTAACCCGCTCCCCAGAGGCCGTCCTGCGGTGGCCTCGCAGGGAGTACAGTCCGTTCATCAACCAGTTCCCACTGGAGGAGAGGTTGGGGATGTCTAGGGAGGAGCTGCCCAGCTTTGGGCTCGCCGACCGCGCTCCTTGCTGCCGGAGGGAGCACTTCCACGGCGGCAGTGTCTGCCCTCTCTTGCTGGGGCTGGCAGCAGCCTGGGTCTGCCTGTTACCACGTTCTGCAGGAGTGGTGCTCCCCGCGGGTCCAGGAGCGGTCTCTGCTGCCCCAGCACCGCGCGAAGGCAGCTCAGCGGCGCCGGGAACACTGCTCTCCGACCTGCTGCCCTCGCCGTCCTCCTCGGAGATCCACTCCACCGTGCTGCGCTGGCGCACGGGGCGCATCTCGAGCTGGCTCCCCGGCACCTCTGCCTGAGGAACGGCGAAGATTCGCCCCTGCTCGCTTATGAGCACCGTCATCAGGTGCTGAACCAGCGAGGTGCCTGTGGGGAAGAAAGAAAAGCAGGAGTTTGATGAGACATGAGGAACCTCAGCACTCATTTCCTCTCGAGATGTAAGGAGCTCCCTGCGAGGCAGCCGGGGGTGCCACGTCCTGTCTGGGCTTTCCAGTCAGGGCTGCAGGAGACGGGGCCTGTGCCCGTTGCTGCACATGGGCCACAGCAAGGATGCAGGTGTTAGTACAGCTCCCCACTGCAGCTGTAAAGGCAGCAGAAATGATTAGTAGCAAAGACAATAATGATAATAATCAGGACTCCTATAGGTGGACATGGGGAGAACACACTTTCACCCTCACCTCTGAGGGGCTTGGAGCTAGTGCTTGCTAAATAATCAGAAATCTTAACTTGGACTTCCTGCTACATCTTGAGTATACAGAGGAACTCGGAGAGATTATGACATCTGTGTGACACATGCTGCCCTATGCAAGGGGAAAGAGAGGCCTTTCGTGCCATCCATTTGTGGACTGCTGTTCAACTCAATTTCTGGAAAAACACTGCAGTTTGAAATGAAACAGAACTCAGGAGGAAGTCTGATGGAATACAGTCCAAGATGACAAATCACAAATTTCACAGATCTGTTACTGAGTGTAACGTAAATGCAGCCACCCAGACATGTGCTGGGTGGGAAAGGAGAAGAGCAGAGCACCAAGCTCCTCACACGCTCAGGGACGCGCTGGTCCATGGCTCCTTTGCTGTTGTGGAACTCAGAGCAGCCAGGAAAGCTCCTGTGTGCTTTGTTCACAAGAAACCCATGGGAAAATAGGGAATTTTAGTACAGAAGCTGGCTTAGGTCAGAGAAGCACAAAATGACTGAGAACAGGTTCTTCAAGAGTGTTTGACAAAACAGGGTGTATGACAAAACAAAAACAGAGATTGCAGTAAACTTTGAAAACCAGCTCGTAAGGACCTGGTCTGCTGGAATCAAGGATTTAAAAAAGAGAGTTTCTCTACAGAATCAATGTTAGGGCCATAGCTGAAACTACCTCACTGTAGAGAACAACCAGCAGATTCACAAGTTGGGCAACTGGATAAACAAGGAGCTTCTCATTGCATTCACATGTAAGAAGCAAACACACAGAGAGCTCTTACTGCCATGTACACCCAGAGAAAGGAGCTGTCAGTTTTTCAGCAGTAAATCAGACCATTATAGACTAACAGAGGATACCGTTTATCAAACCTAATACAAAGTATTTTCTACAGACAAGAAAAAAAAAGGGGGGGGGTAGATTTATTTCTTTACACCATGTGATAACATCTAAAATTAATGGTGATTTTCATCTTATTCCCTGGGTTCTGTGAATCTCTATCCCATATAAATTCTGCACGGAATACAACTCTTAAGACAGTTACGGTCTGTGTAGCCCTGAGAACACTGCAGAGAAAAAACAATTCTTTGTGAACTGGATTTCCTTTGCAGGAAGCTGTTAAATGTAGTCAAATGCACCAATATTAAAGTAGTTTGGCATTTGGATATGATCCTTCTGAACAGCATTTCAGTTTTCCTTTTAAAAACAGTAGGTTCACAGAGTGTTCCACGTAACTAACAAAAACCCAAGGCACCCCCATGCAGCAGAGATGCTCCTCAGATCCGTGAGGGAGGATCTAGGATAGGTGAGAGGGGGCGACAATGAGATGATACAGCTGCCAATGACGACCTTCAACATGAGATATTCCTGTAGCCTCAAACAAGCTTCAGAGCTCTGCCATCTCACAACAGGAGCAGCACCTACCTTCCATCATGGTTACTGGATCTTCCATTTTGGGTCGTAATATATTTGGTCCAAATACTGTAGCCAGGTTCTGGACGCTCATCTTGTTAACACTGGAGTGAGCCTGAACTTCATCAAGGAACCTTGAAAAGCCCCCCCAGGAAAAGCAAAGAAAGAAAGGAATAAATAATTAAGCCTGACACACCAGACCGTAGGCTTTTGGGGGCAGGAACACTTTCTGTCCATGTTCAAACAACCCCAAATTGATCCTGAAACCCCAAGCAAGGAACTGCTGCAGGTCACCTACTCAGTAACAGCCACTAATCCCTCCTTGTGCATGAACAAGAGAAGATGTGATGGTTTCTGCCAAAGACACCCACCTACGGGGTATCTAACTGTCCGCTGGGAATGAAAATACAGCTTTCCACCTTTCTGTAGGAATTGTGCAGTTACACAGGGTGGTTTCAGCCAGTTTTCATTCACGGGTGGAACAGAAGAAAAAAAAAAGGTTTAATTCATCTCCTCCTAGAAGGAGCCTGTGGGAACAGTTTAGTTTCCCACATCTTGCTAAATACAGACTAAGCGGTAGCCCAGTGACTCTGGAGAGTGCATCAGCAGGCAAATACTGACACAGTGAAGTGCCTCTCACTCTGTCAGTACCTCATTTCCTACATTTCTGTTCCTCTTTGGATGGCTGAAGGGTTTGAGGCCGTGAAAAAATCTTGTCATTCTGCACTGCGTGGCTGCCTGCGTTTCCAGGCGTGCTTGCTGCCCGGCCTCTGCGGGCATCCTCACGGTTGGAGCAGCCTTGTCCCGCGACACACACTGGGCTGAGAGCCAAGAACCCCCAGCTCTTGTCTTTGCTGAGTTAAAAGCAATCCTGCCTGCCTCTCCTCCCACACCTTCGCTTAAAACACGCAGAATGATATTGCCCGACAACATCCATTCACATTTTGAGATACTCGGATATTAAGACAGAGGACCACTGAAGCACACAGGCACAAGAATCTTTTGAAATTATCAAAAACAAATCAAAAGCATTGTCTACCTATACATTTGTGAAGGGGTTGACATCTCTTGAATAAGCCATGGGCTCCACGTCAGTATCTGGTGCTTGTTAGGTATGTGCACATCCCATGGGGGATAGAAGGGCCCTGCTTCTGCCATGGAGGACGGGAACCCACAGAGAGCTCACTGCACTAGATCCAGGGATAACAGGCCATTCCGGTGCCAAGCCACACTCTACCCCACACTGCAAAACTGGTAGAGCCAACAGAGGCTGAGGAGCCCCTGGAAACCTCAGTAAACCTCTGAGTACCCCAGAGGAAACCATTCCCAACACCCTTCCAAGCACGACTGGAGGCAAGACTGGCTATTTTGGCTGTATTTGCTACTCAGGTTTGGCTGTATTTGCTACTCCAGGTGTGCAGTGTGTGGAACAGCTGCCTTTCTCCATTAGCCTTTAGGAGCTTCCCATATAAACAACATTATTACTGTCATTAATGCTCACTGGCCAGGCTGAGGGTGACAACAGTTTCCCTCAGGCAGGCTGCACATCTACCCATACATTTTATAGGAGCAGTAAGTTCTGTAGAGGTGATTGCTGAATATTCAAATGTTCAGAGAGAATTATTTGTACATTGGATTGAATTTCTTGGAACAATGACTTTTGCAAGTGTTAATTTCACTTACTTGCATATGTATTTGAGAAGGTTGTAATTGGCTTGGGGCAAATTCTTCACCTGTTTAACCAGTTCCTGGGTTCCCTGAGGGACAGAGAAAACAAGAAGAGTTGTTGATATGAAGATGTTAATATGAATTATGCATATTAATCTGTTAATAAATGATGAAGGCTTGTGTGATTGCACTGCAGTGCTAAAATGTCCTATTTACAGAGTCAATCCCATGGACAATGAGCCACAGCCCCGTGAGGATCTCCAAATTATTTACTTCAATTTGCAGTTGTTTTGAGCTGCAATGTACTTCACAAAAAGAGCGTCGTACATAAAACTAAGAGGTATCTGCATGAGGAATGACTTGAAATCCAAAAGCTGCTAAAAATGTCTAAAAATGTTTAAATGCTAAAAATGTTTAAAAGGGTGGATTTACTGCTTTTTAATTCTTCAGGTTCATGGCAAAACCATGCCAGTTTTAATAGCAGCAAAAATAGATTCACCAATAAAAGACCATTTACTTTTGGAAATATCAATCTGCTTTTCTGAACTTCTGGAAAGGAGGACTTTGAGCTGGTCAAGCTTACAGAGCTAATCCTCTCCTGAGTCTTATTCTGGAAACTAATTTATTCAAATTCTGAAATCAGGATGGCATTTTGTCACTGGATTTGAGGTGCTCTGAATTAAAATACCGTGGCCCCTTTAGATGGGAGAGACGGCTTCGCTATGGGAACTGCAGGCAGATGAGAACAGCTGAAAATATGACCTAAAGGCAGAAGATTTTATCTGAAATAACTTTTTTAAAAAATCTAAAAAAACTATTGCCTGGTCTGTGTCACTGAGGAATCACAAATATGAGGAATCACTGAAGGCGTCGTTGGATTCATCGAGGTACAAATGCCTGCCAGGTTCAGAGAGCTTTCTCTCCTGCAGCCACCTCAGGAGCATTTATCAGCCCGGCCACAGCCCTGTGCCCGCTAAGCGCCTGCCCTGGGAGCCACACAGCACCAGCAAGGCACAAACTGGAAAACTTCTCATCTTTTTTAATTTTTTTGCCTCTGATTTTTGAAAGCTTACCATTTTCTGCTGAAAAATAAAACCACATTTTTGAGTTTTTGAGGAGTCCTTCACACAGGAAAAGACAAGTCCCGTCCTGCAGGCTGGGTATGACTTTACACCACAGCCTCTCGGTCCCCACCTTCCTTTCCAAAAAAGTAGACAGACCTTATAAGGTTCCAGATTTTTCTGAAAAAACAGTGGCACCAGCTTGAAAGGCAACTCTGCTATCAGCAGTGCTGTGTTTTATAGGCTTTCTTTCCAGCTATCTAGTTCTAGCCACCACCTTTCCATGCAAAGAGCATGCAGTACAAGTCCTTCCAGCCCGGCCTTGCTCATACAAAACCTGGACGTTGCTTCCCAAACAGCTGCAGCCTCCAGGCAGAGCCAGGCATGGTTAATGAGCTGAGCAGTGACACAGGTCTGCCCTGCCTGGCACCATCTCTGCTCGTGTGCAGCTCTGCTTACAGATCCTACATGCATGTCCTGTGACCAAAACGAAGCAGGTTCCACTGCCTCGGAAATGCTGCTGCTTCTTGTGAGCCCAAGAGGGACTCTTTGGGTTCTGCTGCCTGCTGCACAGTGCCTTGCAGTGACCTGAGCTCAACGAGACTAAGGAAATGGGCAGCTTTGGGAGCTAGTGAAAAATTACTGTACAAATTAAGAGACAGCACGAGTGAGCAGACACCCTGACGCGGCTGTGTCCAGGATCCACCCTGTGTGGCACCGCACTTCATCATGTGTTTGCTCTCCCAGAGCTGGCCAGAGCACACGCTGCATGAGCACAGACAGGCTCAGGCAGTAACAAAGCTGCCTTTTGCCCACAGAAAGGGGCACGAGCAGATTCACTGCCTTTGTGCCCACAAACAAGCAAGGATCCTCCTCTTACAAGGATCAACAGGGACTCACCTTCCCCAGAACTTTGGCCACTCGCACTAAAGGTGAACCCCAGGCTCTCAGTAAGGAACAGGTTTTTATAGACCCCACTAGAGACAGAGAGAAGAGCACACACTTGAGGCCACACACAGAGAGGATGGTAGAACTGGGCCCTATGACTTCCAAGCCCTCAGGCCTCTGCTTGTCTCTAGGTCTCACCTCTTTAGTGTCTCTAGGTGAGACCTAGAGACAAGCACCTACCTACCTACACCTGCAGTAGAGCTGACACCTCCCTGAACCTCTGCAGAAGGTGGCACAGTCCCACCCAGAGCACAGCAGATCCAGCGCACCCTGCAACCAGCAAACACCAGCTCTAATATCATCATGGGGGGAGCAAGACGGATGGAACAGATCCATCAATCACACTGTAAATCATCTGCTCCTCCCAGGAAGGGAATCAAAATCTCCACGATTGCCACAGGGTTGGGAGGTTTTTGTCAGCCCCTTCCCTTGCCTGGAAACCAAGCAGAAGTTATCCCAGGAAGGGTCTGGCAAGGCGTTCATAGCATCATTTCCCCCAGTTTGGGACACCAACACAGACTGCCCTTTTATAGTGCCTTTCCTCTAAGAAATTTAGCTTCTAATGCACCAAAAACTGGGAGTCAGAACAAGCTGTTCTGAAAACTGAAACTGAAAGAAGTGACTTCATACAACTTGCTAATGGAGCAACAGCAGAGCTGGGAAAGGACCGCAGGTCTCCTGCATCTCTTACTAGTTATGCTACAGAACAACTTTGTCCGGAAAAAAAGTGCAGGGCTATGAGATTTGCTTCGAAGAAGCTCCTGCCTCAGGCACAGGCTCCTGCCTCATAATGCACAATTCACAGCTTCAGAAAATTTCAGAGGAAGCTTCCAAAAAGCTTCTCTTATTCTAAATCCAGGCTGAAGAGTGAGAAGAAAACAATATTGAGACTTGGGAGCACCATCAAGGTAGGAGGAGGCAGATGAGAAGAACCACTGACCTCTCCCTCGTCTTTGGAGAGGAGCTGTCCACAGGAAAGGAAGTCTTCGTATTTGGCAAAGGGGATGACAGGCTCGGGCAGCTCTCGGAGGTAGAGCTTCAGGAGGGATGCCACGGTGTGAACATCTGTGTTGCTGCAAGGAGAGAAGAGGGGAAAACATGGTTAGAGCCCTCTGCAACTCCATGGATTGCCACCTTCTGGAAGGCCGGGGAAGTCCCCTTTTGGGGAAAGGGACATGCAGGTAGGCTCCTCTGCCACATGCCTGTGCTAGACAGGCCAGACTACATGGTGATGGTGGAAATCACCCCTCTCCCACACTAGGAATGCATCAGGGGCAGTACTGGCAGCAGAAGGCATCATGAAAGGTTTGGTGGTGCTGTGGTTCCTCAGCCACCATGGAGCAGGAACATGGGTGATGATAGTCCAGGCCAGGACACTGTGATCCTTGTGGAGCTGACAGCTCCACACGCTCCTGCAGTCCCACAGAGCCAGGTGTGAGACAGCAGCAGGGGCTCTGCCCTTCTCCCCTATCCCCTCGGTCCCGGGGAGCACCCAGCTCTGTGTGTGACACGCCACGATCTCAGGGGCGCAGCTGCTTCACAAGGAAGCAGAGGCCCCCAGGCCCTCCCTCCCTTGGCATTCAGCCTGGCCCCCAGTCTGAGGGACTCGTCTCCTTCCCTGGCTGGGGCTTCTGCTCACTCTTCCATTATGCTGGGATATCACAGCTTTTCTTTTCTCCAGGAATTGCTCTTCCTGCTCTTATCTCTTCTTCTTTAAGTTGTGTTAGGGTGTCAGATGTACCTGTCCTTCTTCTTCCATTTCCCTTTTTTTTTTTTTTAAATAGTAACCAATCCTGCTTCTTGCTGATGCAAGATACAGGCCCAAGGAGCTCAGCAGGGCCCCTTGAAAGCCACACACCCACCTGAGTGAGACTCAGGTGAGATTTATCTCTATTTAGCCAGTGCAAATAATGGTGCTTTCTGCTTTAAGAATGATGGGGGAGGTTCACTTATCTTCATGACTTTTATCAGAGCAAAATGACTAGTTAGATAGAGGCGAGACAGGAAAGTGAGATTGCTAGTCCTGATGAATTCCCTCTGTAGATACCCCTGCTCCAGAACATCTGTTTTCCAAAATAACTTCATTCATTTCCCACATGAATTGAGACGATTCTAAATCTGAATGAGAACATCCAGACACTTAGCTTAAAAAAAAAGACTTTGGTTAAGAAAGGATGAAGTGAGACTATTTGAAAATTCAAACTTTTTTCATTAAAAATATTTCTAAATATTTGAATTCGATTTCTAAATATTTTCCAGTTAGGCAGCAAACACTGACTGTGGTTAAGAATCACAGAAAGGAGGTATAGGTGGCCTGGAAATGAGGTGAGGGAAGATGCAGATTTCTTTTTCCAGTGAACTCTAAGGCTATTTTTCCAGGTTGAGAGCAATCAGCACGCTGCCCATCGCAGCAGAGCCCTCCCTGCAGCAGAGGCACAAGGAGCAAATGCAGCCCGGGGCCTGAACGGTTGGGCTCACGTTTCTCCTGCTCAAGCACTGAGCCCAGTGTAGGCTACAGCACTTGGCATCATGCGGGTGCAGCCTCCAGGAGTGTTTTGAAGAGGATGATGATGATGTGGAGCACATCCAAGGATCAGGGCCACTCCGGCTCCTTTCTGTCAAATTGTACCTGCCCGAGGTCAAAGGGCCCGAACGTGGTGCCAACCCACCTGTCGAAGAGGGGCTTCTCGCCGCAGTCGAAGGAGTCCTGCAGGTCCTTGACGAGGTTGGCCTGGCCGGGCATGCGGAAGAGCCCCTCCTCGGTGAGGCCGCGCTCCCGGATGAAATCCACGCACTGCTCCACGAGCAGCGGGGCGAGCCGCTGGCCAAACCTCCTCTCGTACTGCACCGTGTCCTCCAGCCGCTGCCCGAAGATCCCTGCAACAGGCACCAAGAGAGTCCTGCTGTGAGCTGCAGCTCCCCAACTGCCTAAGGGACAGGGTGAGGGAGCGGGCACTGCTCCACCACATGATGGAGTTGCCCCCAGAGGTCCTGTCTTTAACACTTTCGAAAGAATAAAATGTTTTTAAAAAGAGGCATAATCACATGCTGAGCATTTTGTTCTGTTTAAGAGTGCTCTAACCTCTGCCCTAGGTCAGTTTTCACCCGTTGTAGCCAAACAAGACAAAACAGAAGCAGCATTGCTTGTGGTTATCTGCAGCTGTGCAGCTGATGTGGCACGGAGCGAGTGATTATGCTTCCCGAAGCTTCTGTGCCAAGGCCTCCAAAACAAAGGCTGCCCTGACTCTCCAGGACATAATCACTTGTGCAGCACCCACCACATGGCCAGGACACAGCCACCCCCACCAGCTTGGAGCTGCACAGCCCAACAGAGCAGATGAGAAGCAGCCTGCCAGGGACTTATTACCATGACAGAAAGCAGCTGTCAAAATCTGAGCTGGCTGTTGTTAAAATCTTCCAGCATCCTGCATGCTTTGGATTTCTATTTATTTTCCTTTAATTTAAATCAACCAATAAAAACTTGACAGGGAAGAAAAACGTGGTCTTGGTTCAATCTGTGCCTCTGTGGGACTGCTCCAGCTAAAATGCTGCTGGGGAAACCTGCTCTGAAAGCTCAACTGCAGCAGCCTCCAGGTGTCGAGGAGACAGGGAGGCTGTCACCCAAGCTACCACCAAGTATCTGAAATGAGATACTCCATAACTGTCAGAATCCTCAAATCTACTCCATTTTAAGCACAATCAGACCATATCAGAAAGGAAATTGTATTCAAATATCACTCAAAGCATCAGGAAACTTTCCATTTGTTTCAATGAGCTTTGGATCAGATAGCCCTTAATCCAGCAGGTCTGAAAAAGCAAACAGCATCATCAGTTAGACCGTGGAGTTAGATCTGGAGTTAGACCGTGTTCACACTGATGCACATGATTGTACCAGGGCAGAGGGTTGCTTACTTCCTAAAGCAATTCTTTCTTACCTTCCTGCCAGTAACCACATTTTCCATTTTTATTTCAGTGCTATGTTCAGGGGAGGCTGATGACTCCTGGCTGGAAATCTCCTAACCACCATTCACTGCCCTCCACGGGATAAATCCCATCAAGTCAGACCTGCTTTCTGCATTCCGCCCAACCCTGTTAAACTCTTGCTGAAACAAATTTTCCACCAGCCTCAGTGTCAGTGCTCTGAAAGCAGCGTGCAAGGAGGCTCCCAAGCCCCAGCCCCTTCCCTGCCAGTTGTGATACTGCAGAAGACAGAACCTTTCCCTGCACTTCAGCCTGCACAACTGCATGACAGAATGGAGCTGGAGTCTTGAAGGAAGTTCCCTCCGTATCTTAATGAGATGCTGTGCCCTGCAGCATGGGAGTGAATTATCTTTATCCCTGTAAATGCTGGTTTTCTTGCAGAGCAAAGTTCTAGTTTCTAATGTGTTTATGAGGTTTCAGAGGTGGGTGTCTCTGAAGTTACCTTCTGGGGCAGGGAATCTCCCTGCTTTTGCCCAGATGACTTCATCGTCTCCCCACGTAATCCCTGTCGTCATTAGAGGGCAGAGCAAGGCAGCACAGCAAGACTGTGCCCAGCTCAGGATGTGGGACTCAGCATTGCCCAGGGCATGTAGAGTGATGGGTGGCTGTGAAAGTACCACCTTTGCAGCCCACTCGTCTCAAAACATCTCTATCCAGAGGGTATCTGAAGAAGTGAAGCCTGCCCGTCCTCTCTGCTGAGACTGCCATCGAGGGACCACCAGTCCCTCAAAGCTTCATTTCAGAGCAAACACAAAGGAATAATTCAGGTTGCAGGAGCTGTGAGCAGGCCCCTCACCTGCCCCACCAGCCTCCAGCTATTCTGCTAACAACTCTGTCTCCCGCTTCTGCCCAACTGCCCGCTTGTCCCCAAGCCACAGTCCAATGCAAGTCAAGGTGCTGCAGCATCAGTTACAGCAAATCTGGGCCAGGCTCCAAGCTGTGTGCCCTAGAGACACACGGAGGTTAAGGAATGGGACTTCACGCTACATGAAGAGGGAAGGTTTGGAGGTTGGTTACATCCTTTTCTCCTGGATAGAAACATTAGTCTTGCGGGGTACCAAAGCACTGCAATGCTCTTTTACCACAACACCCCTCGCCTCCCCATGTTCACACTATTTCAAGCACATAACAGCAACAGCCATGAAATCAGGACTGACAAGAGCAAGGACGAAGCTGATCTACCCCAGATCCGTGTAAAAGGAGCTGGGCAGGCGCAAGGCAGGAAGGATCCTGCGCCACGGCGCGTGCGGAAGGGCCCTGCGGGGCCCAGGGTGCTCCCAGCCCCGCAGCTCTGCCAGGAAAGGCCCTCTGGCCACGGGCAGCAGGGACCAGGCCAGCTGCCCTGGCAGTCCTGCCCTGCTGCGCCAGGCCCGTCAGGGCAGAGCTACGCTTCCCATTTCAAACCTCAGTCCTAATTCTGCAGGGCAGTGCTAGCCAAAGCTCCATGCATTGCCTGGACAGAGCAGGGCTCCCAAAACACGAGCGCCGACAGCTCTACCCTCCCTCGACAGGTCCCTTCCAGCACCACGTCCACTACAGCTCTGAGCTTTGTCTTCTGCTCAGCCCCAACCCTAATTCCTGTATGGGTCTGTAAACAAGATGCTCCAGCAGCTGCCCCAGTCCAAGACCTCTGCTAGCCCACGTCTCCATGCAGCCACCTCCTTCCTTGGATAGTTCCTCTCCGGACACCCTCACACTGCAGCTCTGTCTTCTCTTCCTCTCAACCTCAACCATAACCCTCAACTTCTGCTTGTGCTGCTACACCTCTGGGCAGTGAGAATGATAGGGCTAGGGCTTATTTTAGTTTTAGAGTCGAAGTATGAAGTGGAGGAGGGCTGCCAAAGACAAGCAGGAATGCCAAGGGAGCTGCCATTCCCAAGGGAGCTGCCATTCGTCTAGGCAGGGCTGTGCACCTCATCTATGGCATGGAAGAAGAAACAACACTTCAAAGCTGCTCTCCCTTCTGGCTCTGTGCAGGGCTCGTGACATGGGGCTGCCCCAACGCCCCCAGCTCCGACTGCAGCGCGGGGCAGGACCGGCTGCTCCGCGAGGAAACGCCAGCGCGGGGCCCGCGGCTCCCTCGCGCCTGCGGGGCTCGAGGCACAGGCCTGTTTTTAATCAGGGGCCGGCAGCCCCGGCCCAACTTGGCAGCGCTCGACGAGCCGCCTGGACCACATTACAGCCTTGTTCTTCCTTTAGGGGAAGGGGAGCAAGTGCCATCCAAAGAGAGTCTCCAGCAGGGCTAGGCTGGAAGCAATGCCAAAAGCTGCCAGCAAGCGAAGGGTTAATGTTCCTTGTTACAGCCTTATCTAGAGCTAGGCACTGTTGTTTGGTTTCAAAGCGGGGAAGAGGAAAAAAAAATGCCTGGGACCGCATCCTTAATCTCAGGAAGATTCAACAGATACCAAGCAAACGGGCTAGCAGGGCTGCAGTTTCGCTCCTCCTCTCCAACAAACTGTCTCTGTTCTTTAAAGATTTAGGTGGCTCTTTGTGGAAAACGCGAGCCAGGAATGATGTACTGACTAAGGCACAGACAGGCTCTCTGTCCTGGCCTGAATAGCTCACCCACCAGCTCCAGGCATACAAAGTCTATACATTCAGCTATGCCGTCCAGACATGCAGTGGGCAGAAAAATATATGCTCCCTGCTTAACTTTTCCCTCATCAGAGCCCTGATTTCAACCAAAATAAACTAAAGACAGAGATGATGGAGTAAGTCCTTGAAGAAGTTTTCTTCACAGAGCAGCCAGGGGACTCCGTAGGTGCTTAAAGCAGAAGCCCACAGGCACTCAGGCCAGCTGTGCACATTAACACACACACACACACACACGCTGGGAGATGTGTTAACACCCACACGTTAGGAGACGTGCGGCAGGACGGCGCGGCGCGCACCTGGCTGCCGCCGAGCGGGACGCGCACCCCAGGGCGCCGCAGGCTGGCGGACGTGCTCACCGGCTCATCCGCTCGCCCCTTCCCGCCACCTGCCCCGGCCCCGCTCGCACACGAAAGCCGAGGGGAAAACCCACGCAGGGGGGCAGGACACGCAGCCCTGGGCTGCCCTGCCCTCCCAAGGCGCGTGCCGTGCCCGGTGCCGCGGCGGGAAGGGGAGCCCCGCTGCCCCACGAGAGCTGCTCTACGGAAACCTGGCAGTCCAGCGAGACAAAGCAGGCACGAGGTGGCAAAGGAGCGACAGGTGATGGGGAACCAAGGAAATCACATCAAGGGACGTGCCCGAAGTCACACAAATGAGTCTGTGGCAGAAGTTGGCATGCAGGGAGCCCACTCCCCACAAAGAAGAGCCTTTGCACAGACTCACTCGCACCCACACGTACGCACTTAAACGCTCCGGGTGAAAGCAGACACAGACACACTTTCCCCAAACCATCATTAGATGGTAGGCTGGAATCTGACGATATTTTTGGCCACAGACTCAGTCTTTCTCACTCTTTCCCATTCATAAAGACTGCTACTATATTTAGACACTTAGCCTCTGCCTGAGCATTCCTAAGTCTCAGCTCACACGTCTGCTTTTCCTCCAAGACAAGGAAACCGTAACAAACTAAAAGCTCTGGAAAATCATCTCCTACCTCTGGTTCTGGTGCAGCACTCCGCTACATGACAGGCGCTCAGCTTCAAGCAAAAACCAGGCAGTGTCAGACAGCAGGAGCGGCAGAAAAAGAAAGTCCTGACTTCAGGCATCAGACACATTCTGAGTCCCAGCGCTGGCAACTTTCCATTCACTCGGCGCTACGGAGCGGAGAGCAGCCGATCTGCCCTGGGAGATAATCTCAGCAGCACATCTGGTCTCAGCTCCACAACTCGGCATTAATTATGACTTGTGCAGAAAGCATTTGAAATATCCAATGAGATGCGGAGCTCCCAGGCCCCCTCCGCCACGGGAAGGAGAGAGAGGGAGACAGACAGACAGGCAGGTAGGGTCTTGCCCACCCTCGAAGCTGCTGCCAAAGTAAACAGCAGCTAAGTATGGGTCACAAGTTTTAACAAAGGCATCCCCCACTGGCTCTGTAATATATTCATGCTCTAATTGCTTGTCAGATCTATTCCTGATAGCTGGAAGAGTGGAGCAACAGTTGCTGTCTGCAAGCCACACTGGATCCCTTCCTGACAAGGGCAGCGCTGCCTGCGCCGCCGCCAACCCGATGTCCGGCTCCGGCCTTGGAGCTGCTTGCAAGGAACTGGGAGCAGAGAGCTCGAGCTGGAGGGAAAGTCCCCCCTCCACCTCCTCAGCGCCCTCTCAGACATCTCCGCAGCTCCGCAGCCTCAGATGAGTCCCAGCCTTTCATCTGGAGCAGCTTTTTTCTCCTTGTGGCCTCACCTCTCTGCAGAGAACTGGCCTGATGGTGCAGGGCCCAGCTAGGTGACTGGTAGGGGGGCACTGAGGCAGCCGGTCCCCGGGGCAGTGCCCGGTGTTGAGAGAAGCCTCCCGCTGCCCCGGGCAGTTTTGCAGCCGTCAGCAACGGGTCCTGTTTGCAATGACACTGAGCTCGTGCGGCTGCAGATCTGCAGCTGCCAGGCCCCCCGCCCCAGGCTGCAGGGGAGCTTCACAGTTCTGGCCAGCTTCATTCCCCTCTGCAGAAATGAGTGAGTTTTGTCCCTGTCTGCAGCTGCTCGTGTGCTTCTAACATGGAACGCTCATGTCTGTGGTCACCACACAGACCACACTCCCCCGAGCTCAGTGGCCTGGGGGCACCAGCTGCCTAAGTGCACTGTAGCTCCACCTGTGCCACAGAGGATGAGTCAAGCTTTGAGATTCCAGCCATCAAGACAGCTCTGTTCCTTGACTCAGGAAACCAGAGAACAACTCTTCATTTCGACCAAAAAATTGAAGAAATGACACCTCTCACTACAGGTAAGGACAGCACCAGGGTTGAAGGCTCCAATTCTTGAACAGTGAGTTGGTATTTTAGAATTAGATACGAGAAGCCCAAACAATATGCAAGATAATATTTAAAACCCAGACAGAGATTCTTAAAGAGAAGGTGCAAAGGAAACCCTGGATACCCTTCACCCTTGCGCTGTCCTCCTGCCGTGACCACAGCAGGTTGGGAGAGCTTGTCCGCAGCATGAGCTGCTGAGCAGGACCCAGCCCCTCCTGGATGCCGGACAGACCTCAGGGTTTCTTGGCACCACTGCCTGGATGAGGCCTCAGGATGTTTGGGGTGTGAGCCCAGGAGACAGCAAAGGCAGGTCCTTATTCTTCCATTCACTTCTCCATTTCTGTCTTCCATCTCTCCAATCACACAGATGTGAAGGCGTCTAGTGAAATGGAAAGTCAGATTGTTTTAAATGGATCCTTCTGTCCTCAAAGGGCAATTAACCTGTGGAATTCACAGCTTCTCTGTGGCCACGGCCACAGCGTGATCCAAAGCACAAGTAGATGTCACCATGGGTAAGAATACCATGAGTTGCAAGAGAGATGACAAAGATCATGTAAAGTCTTGAAGGAATAAATGCATCCTCTGTGAGAGCAAAAGGCAGGAGGGGTAAATTCTTGCTTATATGAACATCACAACTAAAGCAGAAAGTGTCAACTGCTTCAGAGTTGCTCCCTGCACACGGTGACTGCAGCCACAGCCACCCTGCAGGAGCAATACAGGCTCCACACTGAAAGTCTTATCTTCTTAACTGAGACAAGTCTCAATCCTTTCCAAAACATTACATTGAAAATCATGGCTTAGGCTACTAAATATGAGATTGAAACAAAAATCACAATGCATACATACATACTGGGTGCTTATATATATATATATATATATATATTTGCCTTTTTTTTTAATTTCTAGGTCATACTTCGGTAAGGCTTCACCTGTCTCCCTGTTTCTTAAAAATGAAATGCAAGACTGCAGCCTCCAGAAGTGCTCCCGATACTGCAAGACTAGCAATAAATTCCAGAGTGTCAGCCACACTGCACAAAACCTGTCATCAAAACTGACACCCAGAGATCTTCCCCACCCCTGTGCCAAGGACAGAGGGGCAATGGAGACAGAGCTCCCTCTTCTCCAACATGACTGAGGATTTTTAGCTGCAACGGCATCTGCCACTGTTTGGTCTGTTCTTATTTTCCTAAGAGAGAAAGTAGGTTTCTAACACTGTTAAGCAAAAAAACCTCACGTGAATTTGCTGCTTGGGAGCTGGCGACATTTTCTTCCCTGGTGCCACTGTGTGGAGACGACTCCCAGCTCTGCCTTCGTGAACGAGCAACTCCACAGTTGTTCTGCTGCAGGTACCGGAGGAGGGAGAAGCATCCTGCCTCCACATGTCCCTACAAGCCTTGAGACTAACTGGAAAATTCACCGAAGCTCCTGCAACCCCTGAAAAACCAGGAATGCTTCAGGCTTGGCATCTAACTCGGGTCAAATTCAGTCTTGAATCTGGCTGCAGCAGAGGGGAGTGGTGAACCCACGTGAACCCAGAGATGCCTCCCCAGCTCTGAACAAACCTGCTGGCTGGTAGAGCTCTAGCACACAGGCTGCAGGTATTTTTAGACACCAGCTTACACATACTATTAGCTAACATACAGATGTACTCCAGAGGATCCGCCTGAGGATGTTCCTATCCAGGAAACTGCTTTGCCTATTTGGAGAGAAAGGCCCTATCCTCAAAGTTAAAACCAGAACTGAAGTTCCTTAGCTTTCAAGTAAGTTGAACCTTAAAAACATTCCTCTCTTAATGCAAACACAGGCAGCTGGAACATCTCCCTGCATCCATCAAAAGCTGGCAGTGAAATGGCTGCAGGAAGTCAGCCAGGGCTGAACCTGGATGGAAACCCTTCAGCAGGGGCATTCCCTCGGGCAGAAGAGCTCTCTTCCACTCATCCGCTTTCTCCTCTCTCAAACATCTCAGATCCTTCTCCGAACAAAGTGATTTCCCTGCGTCTTGCTCCTGTACTTGGCTGGGGACTCAACCTTTACTGGTAAAACGAAATCATTTGAGAATAAACAGCCTTTGCTAACTGACTGGTAAATCTGCAGGCTCCAGGTGGATAGGTCAGCAGATAGCAGTGTTCACCTTGCTCTTGCAGCAGCTTCAGCCTAACTTGTATGTGGTGCTTTGCCATCTCTCTGAGACATGTCAGCAAAGAAACTGTGTGGACAGCACTGTGAGCTACCCTGTAGTGGACTCTGCCCAGCTTATGCTCTGAACTGAGATTATAACTGTTTGCTCTCCGAGAAAAAGAGGATAAACAGACCTAAACATCACTTAACCACAGCGTTCTGAATCTGGAGCCAAACCCACGCGTTTATTGGTCTATTTCTCTATAAACAAAGACAAGAAGCTTTTGGAGATCAAAACATCAAGAGCACCAAAAATGCCTTTTAATTTAGCAAGCAATAATCTGAGCAAACGTGTCCTGGAAAGCTTCTTTCTACCCACAGCATAAGAACATATTCTGCAGAACTCTTTATTTACTGAGTTCTGCGCATGCCTGTCATCATTTAACAGAGACCTTCGATAGACTTGCATGAAGCTGCAGAGAGCACCTGACCAGCAGAACTCCTGTCCCAGGTGGGCTGCATACCGCCTCCCACACTGCACAGGAAGGCTTTACAGAGCTTCTGAGGGCTAGTAAATATAAAATAGCTATGAGGTAGCGGATTTGTTACCAGCCTCAGCACTGGAGAAGGCCAGAAGCCCCCAGCCTTGGCCGCTCAGCCCTGGGAAGCGCAGCCTTGGTCCCGACACAGCGACGACGGCCAGGATTGCTGGGCACCCCAGGGCCTGGCATGGCCTGCGAGCTGCGTTCCCAGCTAACAGATAGAGCCTGCGATCAAACCAGCAGGATCAACACCCAACAGATGGATTCTTATCCAAATCGACTCCACCATAAATATCTCTGTCAATCTGTAACCTACAACTGTAAAACTCCTGAGCTACCGAGGGAACTATAAAAGGTTTCACTTTGCTGCTTCCTTAAACTCAAGCAATGATGAATATCCTGTAGCTAATTCCCATACATTTACCTTTATCCTCTACTATTTAAATAAAAGTCTCAGTGCAAACAACTGTTACTTATAAGTCTGCCACCCAAGAAGCATCAAGTCAGAAACGAATTCCTAGCAGCAGCAGCTGAACCTGACCAGTTCTGCTTAGAAAGGGGATGGTATTTCGTTCCAATTCGTAAAATGAATAAAACATTTCAGCAAATGTGCCAGCCTTTCAGGAAAGCTTCCAGCAGGGGCCAAGGGCTGCCTGTTCCCTCCCTCTCCCTGCGACTCAGAAGGTGCAATGGGAACCTGCAGGGCTGACTGCCCGATGACAGAGAGGAGAGGCAACCACAAGAGCCAGAGCAGTAACTCCTAGGAAGGAAATAGGAAAAGAGAGGCAGGCTGAAATTCCTTATTTTTGGCTCCTAAACAGTTAACATTACAACTTGAAAGGAGCAGGCTACCTTTCCCCTTTAGTAAGCACAGATTGTCATAACACTCATCAAAGGAATAACCCAGAGAAATTAAAATACTTGCCTGCAAGCTGAGAAACACCACAGGAACATGTTTGTCCCATTAATCATACATTGCCAGGACCTGCAGTGAGAACCAACACTGTTTTAAGCTTGTCGGGCTTCAGACACCAAGCATGAACTGAACGACTGCAGGCAAGGCCCCACTGCACAAACCAGCACATAGTGAGAGGTGCTGGTCAAGCCGTGGGCCACAGGCAGCTGGCACCAGCAGCACAACCAATGCACAGGCACCACTTGCTTTCTGTGGCACTTGCTGGACGCAAAGCAAGGGATGCCAGTCTGCTACACAAGCCCCAGCACAAGGC